TGTAAAACACGTGGTTGCAATTCATTAGGTTGTCCAAATTTGGAAAGTAAACAATGTTGATCTTTTGGAAAGGGTAAGCCAAATCTCCCACTTTTTTGAAAAAATTTTGGAAGACCGATAGGAAAGCGAGAAAAAGTAAAGAGAAAAACCACTTAACCAAATAAAAAAGTGTGGCTTGGAAAAACTAAAGTTTTGTTGTATCCCCTGTGTTTTTTGTTAACAGTCGAGTAGTTTCATTGACGAAGTTGAGCTTTGCCCACACTTCACCAAGATTTTATATACAAGGGTGCCACCTCTGGGTTTATTGTTACCTTGCCAGTTAACTTGTATAGTAATGCTTCTGTCTTGCATGCCAAATGTCTTTTAGAGGAATCCCGCAGAGTAAACGTTAACATCTAGACAAACCACTACATCGACAATGACTCTCCAACAAAAATTTTGTTTTTCCATTAGTGGGAATTTTTGGTTTAAGTGTTTGTCGGAAAGAGTTTATGTTTGTATTAATAGCAAAAATATTAACTTTATATTGATTTTTCTAATAATAAAAAAATAAATAAATAAGGCCATACAAACTTATATTTTCAGTTTTCATATCCTGCCGGGTTAGCAAAATTAGGTTTTAAAATTTTTATTTTTTTAATATATTAGCCAATAGAAATCCTCTATAGTAGAAGCTTTTTTTTATTTATCTAATTTTTTTTTTCTTTATCTAATTGTATAGGCTTTTTTTTTTTCTTTATTAAAAATCATATAATAACCTTTTTTTGCCTGTAATTTTGACGTCAAGATCAGCAATTTATCACTTACAAACTGCGGTATATGGAGAATCGTACATCATTTATTATTATCGCAAAAATTGCAATTAATTGTTTAATTGTGGCTGTGCCACCAATCAATTAATTGAATTTAAATAATTGCAATTAATTGCCTTCACAATCAATTATTCGGTAGGCCTGCCTACTATTATTAATTTTTTTTAGTTAAAGTTATTATATAATTATTTTATTACTACTGTACATTTACTATATATTAGCAATACGCCTGTTGCTTGATTTTGTAAATTTCAATAAAGTAATCAATAGTAGTAATTATAGTAAAAATATAGTAAAATATTAGTAACGTAGCAGTCAATAGTGGTTACGGGTTAACTTCCCGAAATCAATTTTACTGAAATACCATTTCATCGAAGTCATAATACTGACATCTCATTTTACTAACAAGACATAATTCTGAAAGTCTCAGTTTACCGAAATATTATTTAATTGATAATAAATTTTACTGATAAGTCATTTATCTGCAATTTCCATTTCACTGAATATTAAAAAGTATGAATATCTATTTTATAGACATGCCATTTATCTGAATGGTACATTTTTCTGACATTCTATTTCTTTGAAATATATTACTGAAAGCTTTTACCGAATTTACAGCTATTTTTGGTCACCTGATAACCCAAAAAGGTATAAACTAATTTGCCGACAACCATTTCACTGATAGCCATTTCGCCGACAAAATTAGCCTGGTTTACATTGAGTTGGCCTGATTTATGCAATTTTGTTCGATCATGAAGACATCTTGTTAGGAAATTTCTTTTGAGGGAATATCTTTTTGGGAAAACACCTTTTCGGAGAAACATCCTTTCAGGAAATATGTAAAAATATTTTTCGGTGAAAAGGCTTCAGAAAAATTTTTGTCTGGAGAACAGGAGTCCGGAGAAAGGGGTTTGTCGGTGAAAAAGTCTGTCGAATAAAATTTTTCAGAAATTCAGGTTGTCGGGGAATTGGTTGTGTCGGAATAAAATATATATTCAGTAAAAATTTCCATCAGTAAAATATACTGTCAGAAATATGTCTTGTCAGAAAAAAGGGATTTCAGAATTATGGGGTCGGGAAAATGGTATTTCGGGAAAGTGAGAATTAATGGTCAATGGTAGTAATATGGTAACTTTAAAACTGTAGCTATTACAAAGCAACTATATAGCTACTTTATAGAGTAAGTAGTATTAAAGTTGCTAAATTGGATGTTTCTGATAAAAAATGTAGATAATGATGATAATATCTATTATATATTCCACTATCAATATTAACATTTCATTGAAAACTAAAATTTAAATTAATGAGGTCTGTATCTCTTATTCATTAAGATAGATACTCGTCAAAATTTCTAGAATCTTCAAATCCAAAATGGTTTGAATTATATGATTCAGTATCTAAACACCGATTATGAAGTACAATCCAATTTTCGCAAAAGGGGAGCTTTTTTAAAAATATTTCTTGTTTGCTGAACTACAAACAGTGCGGAATTGATTAAAATGTCCAGCAATATGATGGAAAATTTAGAATTTCAAACATATTAAAGTAGTTTATTTATATTGTATGATCTATTATGAATGAACATTAATGCAATTTGCCAGTATTTGTTTATTAAAGGTTTGAAATTCAATGCTTCACTAGATGTGTTGGTATCCAAAAAAGTGTACCAGCCATAGTTGCTAGATAGGAATCACTCGTTGGTTAATCGTAGAAGTTCAAAATTCTCATAACAATTATATAGTATAATGTCTAGCAGATTTGGCATTACCTGCTCCACTTTGATAAATAAAATTCTCTCTAATGCTAACCAGTAAACATTTTAGGTTTAGAAGATGCGATTCGTTAACAAAATTCCTCTTATAAATGGATCGAAGTGGAAACAATGAGGGTGAAGAAAAGATAAAGAAAGAAAATATGATTTATAAAAAGCAATTTTATGTATTTTCATTAACGACTAAAGTTATAAATTTGAATTTTTCGTTAATACCATATAGCTACCGTGGTGCACCATTCCGGTACCATTGATTCTCATTTTCCCGACCTCATAATTCTGATATCCCTTTTTTCCGACAAGACATATTTCTGACAGTATATTTTACTAATAGAAATTTTTTACTGATTTTTTTTTTCCGACACAACCAATTCCCCGACAAGAAAAATTTTATTCGACAGACTTTTTCACCGACAAAACCCTTTCTCCGAACTCCTGTTCCCAGACAAAAATTTTTCTGAAGCCTTTTTTACCGACAAATATTTTGATATATTCCCCGAAAGGATGTTTCTCAGAAAGATGTTTTCCCGAAAAGATATTCCTCAAAAAGAAATTTCCCAACAATCAATTGAATAAAATTGCATAAATCAGGCTAACTTTGTCGGTGAAATGGCTGTCAATGAAATGGCAGCAAATAGTTTACACCTTTCGGGTTACGGGTTAATTTCCCAAAATCAATTTTACTGAAATACCATTTCACCGAAGTCACAATACTGACGTCCCATTTTACTAACAAGACATAATTTCGAAAATCCTATTTTATCGAAAGTTCATTTAACTGAAAATAAATTTTACCGATAAGTCATTTATCTGCAATTTTCAATATTAAAAAAATGAATGCCTATTTTACTGACATGCTATTTTACCGAATGGTACAATTTTTTGACATTCGATTTCTTTGAAAATATCTTACTGAAAGCTCTTTTACTGAAGGATGTTTTACTGAATTTACAGCTATTCTTATTAATTCTGGGCCACTTGATAAACCAAAATGGTTCTACCACAAAATCTGAAAGCCACTTTTCCGAAAGAACATAATACCTACTGACTAAATTGGCCAGCATTATAACTAATGCCGGCTAACTTTGTAGGTATTAGATACTTCTAGGAATCTGTTTTTCGGGATCTTGTAGGTTTTACCACAAAAATCCCAAAAATCGTTTTCTCGAAAGAACATAATACCAACTAAATTGGCCAACATTGTAACCAATGCTGGCTAACTTTGTTGATATTAGGTCCTTTCGGAATATGTCTTTCTGGATTTTGTGGTAAAACCATCCAAAAAAGGTATATAGTGATTCTTATTTTGTCTTTTAAGTTAACCGGAAAAGTTAATGTCAAATAGCATTAAAGGAAAATTGCATAAAGAATTATGCAAATTTGTTCAATCAAGAGATGCCTTGTTGAAAATTTTCTTTTTGGGAAAACAGCTTTTGGGGAATAGTCTTTTGGAGAATTATTTTTTCGGAGAAACATCCTTTCAGGGAAATATATCATATAATATTTGTCGGTGAAAAGGTTTCGAAAAAAGTTCCTGTCGGAGAAACAGAAGTTCAAAGAAAAGGTTTTATCGGTGAAAAAGTCTGTCGAATAAATTTTTTTCGGAAGTTCAGGTTGTCGGGGAGTTGGCTGTGTCGGGAAAAAAAATTCGGTAAAAATTTTTTTCAGTGAAATGTGCTGTCAGAAATATGTCCTGTCAGAAAAAAGGGATTTCAGTATTATGGGATCGGGGAAATAGTATTTCGGGAAGGCGGGTTTCGGGAAAGTAAGAATTAACGTTTTTTCGAGCTATCAGGGACCAAGAACTTGTAAAATAGCTGTAAACTCGGTAAAACATCCTTCAGCAAAAGAGCTTTCGGTAATTTATTTTCAAAGAAATAGAATGTCAGAAAAATGTACCATTCGGAAAGATAGCATGTCAGTAAAATAGACATTCATCTTTTTAATATTCGGTGAAATGGAAATTGCAGATAAATGACTTATCAGTAAATTATTATCAATTAAATGATATTCGGTAAATGAGATTTTTGGAATTATGTTTTTTTGTTAATAATATGGGATGTCAGTATTATGACTTCGGTGAAATGGTATTTCAGCAAAATTGATTCCGGGAAATTAACCTGTAACCATCTGGTACACATTTCCAGGTGCGTTATATTGATATGATTCATATTTCAGAGTATCACTATCATATGGCCTATATTAACCAAAGCGAAGTAAATTTAGGATCAATCTTTAAAAGAATTAAATCCTGAGCTAAAATTTATTAAGTTCTAAACTTCTCTAATTTCTCTAAACCTGTTCAACAGATCATTCTTTAAAAAATAAATGTATTCTATATATAGAATCCCACACATTTTTAAATTTTTTTTTTTTTTGTTCCTATATAACTACTATTCAAATATCTTTATTATACTTTACTCCTCAAGCAATCCTTCAACAATTTCATTGCTTTTAATAAACTCCAAGATGTTCTCAACGGCCATTTCTAAATTCGTACGTATATCCCTTATATCTTTCGAATTTAACACAACCAATTCATTTAACTTGATTTCCGAATAACCTTGAAATAAATGTCTATGGCATTTTATGTAGTTTGGCCATACCATTGTATCAAAATAGTTTGGCGGGTCTTTCCAGTAACCTGTATGAAGAATAATGTTATCAAATATTGCAAGATCATATACCACATCAATTGACTACATTAAAAAAATATGATCCTATTCTTACCATCAACAGTAACATATCCAGCTCGTTCTTCTCGCCTTTTTTTTAGCGTTGTGTAATCAGCTTGAACAAAAAATTTAATATCTAATTCCTTTACAACTTGCATATCCCAATAAAGAAGAAATCCATCTACTAAAACAAACTTCCAATTTGAATTATCTATACTTGAAGCACTATTTTTCTCATTTTCGTCCTTTGAATCATTTTTATCAGTGCCATTGCTTTCGTTGCTATCATTCAACACATTACCAATTTGACTTGATAACTCTTTGATTAATGATCCTAGATGAGCTTCAATTTCAGAATCATTCCTAGCATTTAACCTTTCCTTCGACTTGAAAGAATCGGGTAATGATCCTGTTTTATGTACATGACGTAATGTTTTAATGAATTTTGGAAAATCTATTGCATCAGGACAATCCCAGTTAGAAAGATTTGTCGTTGGATCAATTGGAATTTGAGACTCGCTCTTTTTAAAAAAAAAACCCCGAAAAATAATAAGATTTGTTTAGAACAAGTTTACGAGAGATGTTGAAAAGTTGATATTCAAGTATATATTTAGAATACCTTGAAAAAATCATCCTGGTGAAATATCCAACTATTTGGTAGGACTTGTTTAAGGAGCCTAGCTAGTGTCTAAATAGAAATTTCAATTATAATCTTTTAAATCATTAAATTTTCATGATATTAGTATAGCAATAGTTTTAAAACTCACAGTTTTACCAGAACAGGATGCACCACTATTAAATGAAAATGAAATTAAAATGAAAAATTCATGATTGTACGATCATTTCTCAAGTTTTATAATAGCGATAGCTCACCTGAAGCCTATCAAAACAATCTTACTTGATGACTTTGACATTTTTCGCAACTCGTACGTTCGTACAAATGTTAAAAAAAAAAGAAAACAAAAAACTAATCATATCAAGAGTTTTTTTATTGTTGATCAAGTTCACGTGATTTATAGTCTGAGACTTTATTCTCCAAAAAGGAGATGGCTTTTTTTAATATTGCTACATATATATAACAAGCTGCCTGAGACGATTCTCGATACATTTTTTCCTGAAAGAGAACTCCGTGAAATGCACAAAATTGTTAACGTTAATGAAAACTACCTCTATGCAGGATGTTGCAGCGGAGATAATTACGTTACACGAGCTTCATAGATGGATAAAAGATATCCGATTAGCGGGATCAGGTAATTTATATGCATCACGTGATTTTTAACTACAAATTAGACGATCTCTTAAATTAGTACGTATAATTTATATTTGAAACGTTACATAAATAAATACGTAGCGATAGAACTTGAGACTAACAGAATACATGGGGAATGGACTAGGAAAACCCCCTTGGCACCTTTTGATAGATTTTAAGTATTGGTTCTTACATATACTTATTGGGATTTTTCAATTTAAAAAACAATGCTTTTAAAAATTCGATGTTCTAATTGATAGAATTGAAATTTCGATTATCATATTAGTTATCAAATTAAATCACAAAATTTATGATGTAATGATTCTATAAAAATTCATGTAATACAAATATTAATTGCATTTTTAAAAAAAAAACTTAATCCGTCGAAGGAGGTTTTCCTAGTCCATTCCCATATATATACTAATTTTGCCAATGCATCACGAGATTACTTCTAGCAAGTACAAAATATCATTAAAATATATACTTGCTTTAATAAATCCAAGGCTCATAATTCTTGGAAAGAATCTCAACCACAGGTAGAGCTATAAAAATTTTCTAAATCTATTATGATAGAAAACCTTTGTTAGATATTACCTTTTATAAAAAATTTTTATATACAAAACTTTACAAAACTTTTAGTATAATGTGCAACTTTTATTGTAGTATTCTAAACAGGATTTTATAATGCATCCTATAAGATCATATGTAACGTGAGATCCGAACAAACTGAAACATAATGATTTAGGATAAAGGTTAGTATTAAAGTAAAGGTAGAGAAATAGCAAAGACAAAATTTCGCAAGGAACGTCTCTATTTTCTTCGATTTCACATTATTCTGTCTGATGGTTGATAATCCTATCGAAAATATTTGTAAAAGTTGCATATCACACCAAAGATCTTTGAAAGAATACCTGTGAAAAAGGTTTATTGTTCTACCTGTGAACGTAATAATTCAGACCAACCTTAAATTAAAAATTAATTTATGGCTAGAGCTAATATTATTCAACAAACTCAAAATTATATATAATTTGCTTCTTTCATTGTGTGTTATAATTTAATTTAACATATAGTTATTGGATGTGTAACGAGAATTATTGTAAAATAAATTCGAATTAAACTTGCCAATAACTTGTAAATCATAAACATAGTTGCGGATAACAATATATTGATTATTCATTTAATTGGCAGATATTCCACAATAAATCGATCCAGAATGTATTATTAATTGAATTTGTCTTATACCAATAAAATTGTTTAAATCAAGGGTTTGCTAGCAAATATGCTATAAATTTAATAGTTCAAATTGCAAGTTATAGGTAAGCAGTTTACTTTATGTGTGTAAGTTTCGGTAGAAAATATTTCGTTAACAGCACATTTCACTAACACCACTTTACTAACATCATTTGGCTAACGGCCATTTTATTGACAATCATTTTAATTCACGTTCGTGAATATAATAATTACTAAGTATATAATTGACATACGGTGCAAAAAGCTACTCGATAGCAGAAGGGATAAAACCAATGTTTTTTCGTAAGATAGAAATACTACTATTTACAGTTTGTTTATATTATTTAGTATTAAATTCATTGAAATGCCCATAAGTTTAAGCCTATAATTTCTTACGTAAAAAGTGTCCAGATTATTTAAATTAGGTGTGCGAAAAATTTCAATTAAAGTATCTTCACTGGTATGTCAATTAATCTATGAATTCATATTCATTATATTATATTTTAGCGATGAAGTTATTAACAGTATAATAAAAACATTAACACCATAGAATTAGGATTATTGTTTACTAATGTTTTAAAATAAAATAATAATACACCTATTTATAGCTCTAATGCATATACCATATTCTATTATGAGAAAGAGCCTCTTTTCAATTTTTGAAGCCGGATTCAAACAATTTTAGACACAATACAGTCAAACCTCTATATATGCACGCTCTATAGATGTACACACTCTATAATTGCCTCATTCCCAACTATGTAATAATGATACTTATAAACTACATCCTATAAATGCATACCCTTTATTAATAATCTTTGTTTAAACAAATAATATATATTCTAATAGTTTTGCAAAATATTGATTACTTGTTTGGTTTAATCTTTTATAAATAGCAATTGTTTTTTGAAATTTGGGATTTTTCTGGGGTTTGCCAGCAAGTATAGTTGTAACTACTTCGAACAAATAATTCTCCGACAAAATAAAGGGACATGTATATGTGCGGGTTTAGCAAATGATGTGTTTAATACGAAAAATGAGTTAACTTGTCTTTTTTAGAGTCTAATATTTAAATATTATGAGGAGTCGATATCCAACGTACAGATGAAGCGGATTTCTATTAAGATAAGTAGAACTACAAATACGATTGTATAAATAATACTAACTAATACTAACACTATATACTGTACAGGGTTGTCATGTTTACTATGTTTGTTCTATTGGCTTCTAATTCTATTCACTTTTTTCATTTTTCTATTGTAAATTTTCAGTATTAAATTTTACTAATTAAATATAAAAATAATTTAAATTTATTATTTTACTAATGGTCTAACAATATGTATTTAAATAATTGCAAATTATTAATAAAAAATTTTTTTTTCTATAAAGACAAAAAATCAAGCTTTTATTCTATTGTTCTATTTGACAACACTGATACTGTACTATCGTTATTTAAATATATTACAATAAGATACATTAAAGGGTATTATGCTAAGCTAAATGTAATTCAGCTTATCCTTCGAAAGTGTTAGGGAAGTACCATTTAAATACCTTTTTTTGTCTTTATTGGTTTATAACTATTCCCAGTGGTTACTAACCTTTCAGATGATTTTGTCCTTCTCGGGTGGTACGAAGCCAACAGCAGATCCAAATTTCGGCACCCAAAGCCAATGTGGCTTACAAACCTTTAATTAGTGCTCGGAAAAATCAAAAAACAACTTGATTTCAAGTTTTTGAATCTATCTATTTACAGTATTGTGCTTTAATTACAAATCTATTTTTACTCTAATCTGACTTTAAACTTCATGATAAGTACCACGAAGTATACATGGGTGCCGAAATTCAGAGGGATTTACGGCATTATGGCATGCCGATATTTTTTATATTTTCGGCATGCTACCTCAAAATGCCGATATGCCGAAAATAATTTCGGCAGCTGGAATTATTTCGGCAACCGGAATTATTTTCGGCTGCCGGAATTATTTTTGGTTGCCTAAAGTATTTTTGGCTGTCAAAATTATTTTCGGCTGCCGAAATTTTTTGCCTGTTCAGAATTACTTTTGGCTGGTCTATTATAGACCGTTATCATATGGTAGAATTCATGACAGTCACCTCTAAATGCTAGTCATAAAATAAATTCAGGTTTGCAGATCGGTTACTTATTATATGATCAATACAGCAATATATGTTGTTAATCAGAGCACAAACAAGTTTATCACAGGAAGAACAATGTGAATGTAAACTAAATTGTTATTATAGAGATAACAATAATGCAATTACGATTAGCATAAATAGGTAGAAATAAGGACGATTCTAGAGATAGTACCCGTATAAGAGTTACCCGGGTGAC